CAACCAAGGAGATTTCTGTTTACCCCCCCCCCCCCCCAGAGGACAAGCAGCCCTTTGGGCTGAAGCGCATGGATTGGAGCCAAATCAAGGATCTCGAGTGCACCACCGACCGCTGGGCCGCGCCAGTGGAGACCGACGACCCGCTGATGGCGCGTGTGCGGCCGCTGCTGGCAGGTGTGCCCCCAGGGCACCAAGTCTGGCTGCTTGGCAGCTGGGGGGCCTTGCTGGGCGGGACTCTGGAGGAGGGCACGTTGTTCAGGCGATGCTGCTGAATCGGAGGGCGGGCCGTGGCCGCCTCCTTGTAGCTTGGCTAGGCCCTTCGCTCACACTTTCCGACAAACGCGCCTCCCACCCTCCTGCTCTACTGCCTGTTTGAAAACCCCCTCAACCCCTTCCAATCAAACCCCCAGGCACCCAGCTTGAGGAAGAGGCCCTGCGCTGCGCCTACTCCGCCAACGAAGACGGCTGGTCCGCCGCCGCCTTCCACGAGCGCGTCGACGGCTACGGCGCCGCCCTTGTCGTCGCCCGCACCCAAGGCGGCGCGGTCGTCGGCGGCTACAACCCCCTCGGCTTCGACGGCTACGGCCCCAAGGCCACCCTCGGCGCCTTCCTGTTCACGTGGCCCGACGGGGACCTGTCGCGGCTGCCTTTCAAACTCCCGAAGATCTCGAGCGATCAGATGGCGGTCGTCGACGGCCTCGACAACGGGATCCAGTTTGGGCCGGGAGATCTGAAGATCCTGCTGCAGCGCGGCGCGCCGAAACAGGCCAAGTGCAAGCTGATCGACTACCAGCGCCTGCCAGGGGCCGTCAAGAACCTGTTCAACCGCGCGGCGGGGGAGGGGCAGACCACGGAGTTGGTGGAGCTGAGGGTGTTTGTGAGGAAGGGGGGCAAGCTCAAGTACGAGCTAGATGGGCTGAGGTGGAAGAGCAGCTTGTCGGACGACGGCAGCGGGGAGGGGCCCCCGCCTGGGGTATTCTCCATGTGACCCCGTGTGCATTGGCATGATATTCACCTGAGGTGGCTATCAGGGGCGCGGCAAGGTTGTCCAGGGTGCTGGGCCCTGGGCTGCATCTCAGTTTGTCAAAGTGCCTATCATGGAACCTTGACAGTCAGCCTCATTTTTGCAAGTTCCCGTTGATGTACCACGGGGTGTGTTTCGTGGGTTTCTGTTGCGATAGCTCCTGGTGTGATGCAGCCAAGATTACAACAGCTACTGGTGTTCAAACCGTTTTGCGCACATGCCGACACATAGCACGAGGGCGAGCCTTGTGTTGCTGGACCCCATGACCATTACGCCTGAGTCACAACTTGGACTGCCCCGATGCGTCGCAAACAACCCATATGCTGAAACATCAATTGTGCTTTAGCTTGCAAATTTTCTTGCCACGGCCTGAGACCCGCGGCCGCTGGCTGAGGTGTCACGCACTGATGGTGACAACGCTGTGAGCTGATTACGTTATTCTGCTGTCGCGCAGCCGAGAGGGGGACCGATTCTGGGGTTACACACAGATTGTCTTGCTCTGAACGGATGGAGATGAATTGACAAATAGGACCCAAAAATTGCTAAAAGCCGCCTGTCACAAAAAGCAAGTGAATTGGGGGCCAGCGCAAAACCCCAAACAGCCACAATCACCATGCAGATGTGTCCAGCCACGGGTCAGAGTGACGCGCATGCGCTGCACGCGAGGACAATTCTTAGGCGATAGGGAGAATAATACACCACACCACACACCAAGCAATTGCTTCAGGGTGTGCAGTCGCTGCTGTGTTGCAGCGTTGGGCAGGTTGGTGGACGCAGCGCTTTGCCATGCAAGGAGTAGGAGCGCCTGGTGAGGCTGCTTGAGGGAGCTGTTCACGTCCAGCGCTTTCCCGGTGGTTCGGTCCATGTCCATGCATGCAGGTTAGTGGTCCTCTGAGCTGGGCCCGTGCGTGGCCCCTCTGTGACCCCAAAATGAGGCGACCTGGAGCCCTCCCACGAGCCGCGGCGCGTGCACGCAACCTCCAAAATTGGTACGCTACGTGGCCAAAACGAGTGCTTGGGACAGCAAATTGTTTGCCAGGAATGCATCAACTTTGCATTGTCCTGGCCTGAAAACAATCGCCAATGTCAGCTGGTTGAATCCAAAAGATCATAGGCCCACCAAACTGCCAGGACAGGCCAGTTGCAGGGCGCCTGTGGCACACCTGCAAATCACACCAACATCCCCGGCAGTCACAGGGCGAAGCGCTTGTCCGCGCGCTCGCTCGGGGCAGGTCTCCTGCATCACTCCCTGCCTCCTGCGCTCTTCTCCCACACACAAAAGTCCTTCCCGCTCGCCGCCACGACCCAGCCCTGGTCCTTGCTGGGCTGGAGGGGGCCCAGCTCCATTCGCGGCCCCAGCTTCACGGCCACGCGCGCGTCGACGACCGCGAAATATAGGTCGTGGTGGGCCGCCTTGATCTCGAGCTTGCTGTCGCTGAGGACGTTGTTGCGCTTGCGCAGCTGAGGGGGGCGCGGGTTGGGGAGTGGGAGGGGGCTCATGCGCTTGATCGTGGGAGATTGGATAAGCTTGATTACAGCAACGTGCTGGCCGGGTATCAGAGATTGCCGCCTTGGCGGCGGGGTCGCAGAAGCGACGCTCCGCCCCACATATCAGTGCGCCCCACATATCAGTCATCAGTCACCTGCACCAGCTTGTCAATGGTCTCTCGCAGTTCGTGGCCCCTGCGTCGGGTGTGAATTGGATGGACGAAGCTTCGGCGGCGTCTTGCCAGCAGCAAAGTGAACAGCTCCCAGAGCACACCGTGCTGAAACTCAAAACGCATGCTGTGAGGGCAGATGCCTACTGCTCAAGATGCATATCCTGCTCCCCTGTTGCCCCCTACCCATTGCAACCAAAATTTGCGCCCCCACCAGTCGAAGTAGTGCTCCCAGAAAACGCAGGGCATGCCAGGGTGCGTCAGCACATGCGCGTAGCCCGCCCCCATTAGGTGGCCGGGGAAGGGCCTGCGGTATAGAAAGATAGGTGGCAGAGGTTTGTCGGCGGGCACGCTGAGCAGCTGCGAGACTGCAAACCGCTCAGTTGGGAAGGCTGGAGCCATCCGGGCATGATACCAGATGAAACGCGCCGATCCCTTGCGGCACGCTGACCTTCAGCGACGCAAAGCGCTCGAGGCAGGAGGCTGCCACCGTGCTGAAACATTGTCGTATGGTTGCCCCTGGTGCCTTCCATTCCAATGTCAACCAAGATGGACCGACGATGCACAAAGACACACATACACCCACTACCACGGTACAGTATGACAAGTGCGCAAGGAGCCTGCGCCCCCGTCTCCCTCACCAGTGCTGCTGCGAGCTGCCGGTGTCGTGGTTGTCAGTGAACGTCACAGCCTGCTCGGGCCACCAGCCCAACAGCCCCGGCGCCTTGCCCTGGCCGTCCCTCAGCCGCCAGTACTGCGTCTTGCCCACCGCCTCCTGCCAGAATGAATTTGCACGGCAGGCAGGGTAATCGACAGGGGCTGCAAGTGGGTGGTGCCGCAGAGGACAAGCTTGCATTATGACCTTCGCGCGATTTCGACGGCTGGAGGTCCTGGTAGCATCCTTGCCCACAGCATGCAGTTACATGCCTCACTGAGAGTGCCAGCACCGGCTGCAGCTGCAAAGCAAGCAAAGCCTTGAAGGGCTAAATGGGTGCAGCGCCGCGAAGCAGGGCGCACCTGCAGGATGCCCTTTGTGGGAAAGTCAAACGCGGCAGAGCTGCGGTTGAAGGTTGTGGGTAATGTTATGGCTGTGAGGTGGGATTTTCACAAGCTGACAAAACAAGCATAGGATGTTCAGACAGCACTACAAGCAGGGGCGGCCCAGGTTCCTGTAGAGAAATTAGTAGCAAGGTCAGCAATAAACGCACAGCAGGTATGACAGCTCTCAGCTCCAACAAACGCGGCGGTACAATACGGTCTAATGTGAGGCTACGTCGCGGCGAGCCAAACCGACTGGATCTAACAGTCACCTCATTTTGTTGGCGTCAATCCAGTTGCAGAGGGCCTGGCGCGCGCCGTCCTGGGAAGGGAGAAGCAGCAGGAGGCTCACGAGTCAAGGGACAAGTGAAATAGAGGGATCAGCAAAGGCCCATGCTGCTGCTGGGCTCAAAACTGTATATACAGGCATGCGGACCTGACTGGCTCAATTGAGAGCCCACCTGGTTTACTGCGAGCTCGCTGCCGTTCCAGGACATGTCTACCCTGAAAGCATGGAGTGGCAAATCCGGCCAGGTACGTGACACGATCTTCGAGGGTGCGTACAGTCGGCTGATTGTACCACTACAGATAGACCTCAGGGTTCAGGCCCAGATCCCGTTTGGCTGGTAGGCATGTGACCAAGCGGCAGGCCTGCAGGCATGCTTCTGCCTCGAGAAGTCAGCTCCAGGCCACACTCGTGGGCAAGGCAGCACGACCCGACTCCAAGGTTGTCCAGGCAATCGGCTTCGACTAACACCCACCAGTACTCCCCCACGTTGAGGGCGTCCCTGCCGACCGTCTTTGAGATGTACTCGTCCACAAACTCTGCGCCATAGCCCTTGACAAAGTCCAGGCGCCTGCGCAGTGAGGGGTCGGATTGCTGGTTGGTTTGAAGGGCGCGAAGGTCCTGGAATGAAGCTGTGGATCAAGGCTACGACAGACGCTAGATGCTGCCGCATGGGGCTTGAGAAGGCAATGACTGTGTATACAGCAGGGGTCAATGCAAAGCGCGAGCAGGTGTCGGGCGGCGTGCAGGTGGATGGGCGGTGACGGAGCGGCGAGGTGCCCGGCACAGGCCAAGCGCCTCACCAGCCTCCAAACCCAACATGGTCCTGGAGCCAGGCCAGCCACTCTGTCAGGGCCTTGCGTAGCGCGGGGTTGGCGTGGTCCAGGTCGGGGGCCGCCGCATAATCGGCGCCTGCATGTTGAGCGTGCGGCCGGCACGGGGCCGCAGACATGTGTCAGCGAGGCGCGATTGCATGGGCGAGTGTACGTGCCAATGTCCCCAAAGGGGTTTTCATACGCTTGGATTGTGCGTACTGTATATGCATGGGTCGCTACGAGACTAACTCTTCGCCACTTCAGCTTCTACGTGCCATTGTCCGGCTCACAGGGCAGGCCTTGAGTTGCAGTAGCCAGGACTGGCTCGCAAGCTCAGGGCCATGCGCGAATGTGCCCAAACAACACCTCACCCGTATCTGCGTTGCCCGAGCCCCTGAACGTGGGGTCGTTGCTGGTGATCGCCCAGCTGCCCCAGTCGATGCGCTCCCCCTGCAGCAAGGACGGCATGTGGGGATGTTGCGTGGCGTCGGTGTGTACGAGACGGAAGGGGATGGGGCAGACTGATTGCCCACGGGCGGGGGGGGGGAGCCGTTGCTGTGAGGCCGTTGCAAGTTGGGCAGGTGTCAGAGACAAACAAAGGAGAGAGGGGTTGAACGGGGCAACCGTGGTCACTGGGCCCCACGCGCCTTGTGGTCGACATCGTCCCTGTACTTGTTCCATACGCCGTCGCGTTGCTCGTCGGCGCATCTGAGAGTGGGTCGAGCAGTGGCAGGGAGCCGTTCAAGGCAAAGTGCGTGCCGGCACAGCGCGACAATGAGGGTAAGACCCTGGCATGGCAGCGCCTCCACCCCCCTCCGATTTGCCATGAAGATAGCGTAGGGTGAGGGTTTCAACACACACGCACACACATTCACACGCGTGCTCACACGCACGACACACACACACACACACACACACATATACAAAACACACACAAAAAGGCACACACAAGTTTGCGTGTACGCGCCTGTGGTTGATGACAATGTCTGCAATTGACACGATGCCGGCCTGCTTGGCTGTTGACACCAGGTCCTGAGGGTCGTAAAATAAACATATGCGGGAGCATCATAAGCGTTTCAGAATGATTGTTGATGGGGGCTTCTGTGCAAAGGCGGGTGCGGCAGATCACGGGCGCTCCGCCGCGCCCTCTCACCCGCAGGTCGTCCTTGTTGCCGTACTTTGAAGCGTCAAGGTTGTAAAGCTGACCTGGCATGTACCCCTAAGAAGCAGGCGTTGTGGGGTGCAGGCTTGTGTTTTGAGGGGAGTTGAAGTGGGGAGGGACAATCACGTGACACGGGATTGCGGGGATGGAGGGAAGGGCAGGGCGGCGCAGGTGCTGACAGTTGGATGAGGGCGGCCTGGCTGCTGTTGCTGCTGAGCACGGGCCGCCGCGGGGCCGGCTTGCATGGCCGCCAGGCGCGGCGGGGCGGGCACCTGGGGTGAGACGGACTGGCTCGGGGGCGGCAGCCAGAGGTGGGTGCAGCCCGCTTTCTGCAAGGCAGTTGGGCGGGGCAGGGTGTTGATGCGTGAATGCCGATCTGAAAAGCTGCAAAGAGTGCATGCTTCGGGACAGCCCACAGGCGGCTGCCGCGCAACCAGATCCCAGAAGTGGCAACAGGAACGCCAGCAATTGTGGCTGCGCCGCCCGCATTGCTGATCCCGGGTGATCCGCACTGGGGCTTGCGCGCTGAGTCAGCGCATGCGGCACACCTTCAGGTCCGGCACCCGTGCCTTGACGTGGCGCCACCAGCCCTCCTCATGCTTGTGGCTCTCCCAGCCAAAGCCTGGTATTCGTGAGAGTTGCGGCCCAGGGCCGTGCGTGTTGCCTCATCACCATGGCACCAAGCGGCGGGACAGGCAGCGCTGGTAGTGCGGCAAGATTCCCGCCGGGTGCGCCGCTGCCACTCAGCAGCCGCAGCGGCAGCCCCAGCAGCGCGGCCGATTGCGGGTGAGCGGGCCGTCCCCCCACCCTGAAACAGAACAGCCTCCTTGCGGGCTGCCGCCTTGGCGACGCCTTGGCTGCCAAGCGAGGGGAGCACGCTGAGCGGCGACATGTTGCTCTGGTGCCCGCGCAGTGCCGGTAAGCACCGAGTGCTGCTCCAGGCGCGGCAGCTGAACCAAATGGCTCGTAAAGTCTTTCTGACTGTCAGACGTGCGGGGTCAGCGGCAAGCGTGCTGGTCTTGCGGGTCGTCCGGATCTGCACCACCCTCCGAGCACGGCTCTGACCACTCCGACGAGGCAGTGAAATGTCTCTGATACATGAGGTACGCTTGGTGCAGCCGTGGTGCAGGGCCTCTTGACCCAACATTGTCACTGCTGCAGGTCACTCTGCTGCCATGCGTGCGCACCTCACGATTCCTCAGGGCGGCCGGCGGACACCCACAGCCAAAGCACAAGAGACGTCGCCCTGATGACTTGCTCACATGACATGCACCCAGTCTGCCGCTGGCGCCTGCGTTTACCCTGTTTACACATTGGTGACGACAGCAAATGTTGGCCGCAAACCAAAGGTGTGTTGACACCATTATATTCGCACACGGGCAACCACGGCAACAGGACGGGTTTATATGTCTACTCCTGCAAGGCCATCCGCGCGCCGCCGCCCGGGCTGTACAGCTCAAGCCGCCCCCGCCCGCCCGATTCCAGGAATACACTCGCCAGTTTCCTCCCACGCCCGTTGCCCGGCGCGAACACCCCCGCCGCGTCGGCGCGCACGACCAGGGGCTCGTGGGCGTCCAGGTATTGGGAGATGCCGCCAGTGACCAGGGTGTCGTGCCACGCGTCCAGGTTGCGGCCAAACCAGCGCGGCAGCTTGCAGCCGGCGGCCAGGGCGTCCCACAAGTCGCCCTCGGTCAGCGCAGTGCCGCGCAGGTTGAGCAGCAGCTCGCCGCGCGGCCCGTCGTGCGGCGCTGCGGCCTGCTGTTGGGGATGTGGTGTGGTGTGGTGTGGAGGTGGAGGAGGGGGTGGGGCCTGGGGGACACTAGTGACCCAGCGAGCTCTGCGCGGCCGCGGCAAGCTCGTTGTAGCACTGCCTGCATCTCACTCACAGTCCGAGGGTATGGACCACCCACCTCGGCTGCTGGGGGGTCTTGCGAGTGACCTGCCTTGGTCCGTTTCGCCTTCGGCTGGGGCATGCGGGCAGCTTCTTGGCCACTGCTGCGCGGAAGCTAGCTGGCCGGCAGAGCGGGGTGTGAAGAGTGAGGGCGAGCTGGTGCGGTACGCTGACGCGTCATCGCGAGTAGCATAAGGATTGCAGTCGACATCCTGCACGGCGAGGCAGAATGGTGTGCGACCATCTGCCCGTGGCTGTGCGGGTGGGGGCGGCGGGAGGGGGCAGCGCACCTAAAGGAGCCGTGACCGAAAACCAGAGCCTCGCGAGGTAGTTCACAATATTATGTTACGGTTGATGCTTGCGCTGTAGCGGGCGCAGCGAGTTGTATTGGTTGCTCATGGTACTGGCGCAGGATGTGTCAAGCTTCTACGTGTGATAGGCTACTCGAATTTCTATGCATTGATATAAGAGTCCTCAAACCTCTTGCACTGAAGTACCGGTACTCAGATCGAAATTCAAAGCACAGCTTCGTGACCCCCTCGCGGCATCGAAGCTTGCTCGCCATGTGTCCGGTACTGGCATGTGAAGGATAACAGAGCTGTGTACATACAGCCTGATCAAGGGCTTAAAAGGCCGATTGCACGCCTCGACACAGCATCAGGGCGGCGATGGGGGCGGTGGGTGCTGCAGCAGCGGGGCTCAATCCCATCTGGCTCGCCCAGTCCAAGCTGAGGCGGCGCCGTTTTGACGAGTGCATCGAGATCTGCAGCGACGTGTTGCAGGCAAACCCTTATGATCAGGTGCGGCGCCGGTCAACAGCTGCCATGCCAGGCGGTGACACGACTGAGGCGCCAGCGACCTGGTAAACATGGGTTGTGCATGAATTTTCGTCACATCCTTCATTTCCCTTGTATTGCACTGTTGACAGGCTGCCTGGTACCTCAAATGCCGTGCGCTCACCCTGAAAAACTGGATAGACGACACCGAAATAGAGGAAGAGGTGCGCCCGCAGAGAAGCTGCACCCACAGCAATCGGCGGTTTCTCTCCGAACGGGCGGCAGGCCTGCCCTAGCCGGCAGGCGGCGGCGGATGACGCAACCTTGGGATAGATGTCTCCAAGGTCTGATTACCCAAGGCGCAACATGGCGGCCCCATGCGCGTGCAGGGCGTCGCAGACCTGTTGTTGGACGAGAACAATGTGGCTCAGGTGGCGCGCCCGGGGACGTCCCTCGCGCGCCCGGCGACCGGCGCGGCGGCGGTGAGGCGGCCGCGTGCGGGCAGCCTTTAGGCATGGGGGCTATGGTAGGGGGATGCAACAACGAGCTTGTTTACGTGCGCTGCGCCATGGTGATGCCCTCACACAATGACTTCCTTGAAATTGCAAGACAAAATGCCAGCGCTCACATGAATGCATGCGCTGTCCTTCTGCCACCTGCTGACCGCAGAGCGGCAGCTCCAGCCCAGCCGTGCGCCCCATGAGCACCGCCGGCCGGCCCCTCACGGGTTTCGCCCGCCCCGGCACCGGCGCAGCGCGGCCCGGCACCACCAGCGGCGGCCGCGGCCCCGGGACGGCGGCGGGCGCGGTGCAGGCGGCGATGCGGGGCGCCAAGCCGGGGACTGCGCGGCCCGTCACGACCTCTGGCAGGTCTGGGGAGCGAATCGGGCGTTGAACCGCAGATGTGGGTGCCACGCACCTTACGCCTGGGTACTGGATAGGATTGTTACACGCCCCGCGGTCGCCGCCTCTGGAGCTATCCAGGGCCATGGGCGCGCTGCGACCAACCAGGGGCAGGAGGGGCCACGGCCGGGCCCACCATCCGCCAGCTGCTGCTCAGGATGGCCCAACCAAGCACCGAAGCGCACGTGCCTGGGCGTCTGGGACACCCCGCCCCTGCATCTCTGCCCGCTGCAGGTTTGTGCGGCTGGGGACAGCCTCGCTGGCGGCGGAGCCTGGGGGGCCGTTCATCAATGCGGAGCGCCTTGACCTGCGGAAGTACGCTGCGCGCCCCAACCTGGCCAGGTGGGGTGCATGTGCAGGGCTTCAGTGGATGTGCAGTACATTGCAGTGGATGCGCAGGGCTTGGCGCCGTTGCTTTTCTTTTGGGGAAAGGGAGGGCTGCGTGGATTGTTGTGGTGGAGCAGAGTGCTGCCGCTGGTGGCTGGAGGAATCTGGGCGCCATCAGGTGCATGGTCGCAAATGCGCATGCATGTGAGCGGGCAAATACGCGCGCATGTGTACACACACACACACACACACACATACACAAACACATACATACATGCACGCGCACCTGACCCCCAGGGTGCTGTGTGACTACATCGTGTATGTGGACCACAACATGCGCAAGGCCCTGGAGCTCGCAGCAGCGGCGACACAGGTGCACGTCTGCCTTACCCGCAGCCTCCCGCCGCAAGCCGTTGTCGTACCATTGCAGCGGCGCCGCCGGCGCTCATATCCTGCTTGAGCCAGCGGCAGTGATGGACTGTGCGGACCGCGAGCCGGGCCGCAGCTGGCTGTCGAACCCGCCTTTGCTTTGCTTCGCACGCCGCAGGCCTGCGGATACGAGGACTGGTGGTGGAAGGCGCGGCTGGGCAAGGCGTATTACCAGCTCGGCCTGCTGAGGGACGCGGAGCAGCAGCTCGCCAGCTCGCTGCGCAACCAGGCGCGTGCGCGCGGGAGGCGGCCCCGCTTGGGCGCCCCGTCCGCGATCTTGTTCGTTGGGCCGGATGCGCGAGGATCGGGTGTCGCGGGCGAGGGGCGGATGACGGACTATGCGGAGGGGGAGGGGGGATGTGCGGCGGCTGCCGGCGCTGCCTCGGCAAGTTCTCGATGCCGCACCGACCCGGCAGCAGCGGCTGTCAGCCAAACCAGGACCGCTGGTCCCACAAATCCAACCCCACAGCATCCCCAGCAATCCTGTCTTCGTTTGAGAAGGTCTTTATTCACCATGCTGATCAAAGTATAACATCAAAGAACCTGGTTAAAACCTCACCTCGCCTCAGGAGATGGTGGCCACGGTGATGGAGCTGGCCAAGGTGCACCTGCGCCTCGACCAGCCCGGCGCCGCGCTGTCGCTCTATGGCGACGCCGCGCCGCGGCAGCCGTGGGAGCCAGGGCTGCTGCTGGGCGCGGCGCGCGTGCACGACGCGATGGGGCAGGGGGAGGAGGCGCTGAGGCTGTACCAACAGGTGGGGGGCCGGCAGAGCCTGATGCTGCTGAAGAAAAGTGTGTCAAGCATCTTGCCGAGTGAGTCAAACGTGACGCCGGGTGACCCAAATCCAGGGACGAGCGGAGTTGAGGACCGGGCCTGACATGCCAACGGGTTTGTCGCCGCATGAGCCTGGCACCCCCCCCAAGGGCGCCGCTCGCCATACCACCCCCCGAAACCCCAAGGTCCTCTCCCTGGACGCCTCCAGCGTGGAGGCCATCGCCTGCCTCGCCTCCCACCACTTCTACAGCGGACAGCCAGAGGTCGCCCTGCGCTACTTCCGGCGCCTCCTGCAGATGGGCGTCTCGGGGGCGGAGCTCTGGTGCAACACGGGGCTGGCCTGCTTCTATGCCGGGCAGATCGACATGGCGCTGCCCTGCTTCGAGAGGGCGCTCGCGGCGGCGGACGATGGGGCGGCGCCAGATGTGTGGTACAACCTCTCCCAGGTGCGTGGTGGGGTTGGGGGTTGGGGAGTAGGGGTGGGGGCATGAAGTGTGAGGTTGCGATGAGGTTGAGAGGGTGGTGTAGGGTGGTGTGTGATCGTGGTGACAAGCGCAGCGCCACATGTCTGGGTGTCAATGAGGTCTTGCAGGTGACATGAGCCCTGCTTTGGGCACATGAGGGGCAGCAGGCGCCCATGCTTGATCTGAGGGGTGTCCTTTTCTGCACCACCTGCATGCATGGGGCCAACAACCCCCCCTTGGCGACAACCAGCAACACCCCTGGTTCTGGACCCCCCTCACACACAAGTACACACCCATACCCCATCAGGTAGCGATCGGCATCGGCGACGCGTCGTGGGCGCAGCAGTGCCTGCGGCTGGCGGTCAGCCTGGAGCCCGGCCACGCTGAGGCCTGGAACAACCTGGCGGTACTAGAGATGCGGCGCGGCGGCGACGACCAGGCGAGTGCTTCGGCCACGGCGGCGCGGAGGGGGGGAGGGTTGGCCGGAGGGTTGGGCGGCCCAGGCGGCGGGGTTGGGCGGGTGTGGTATCCCTCGGGCCTGGGCCATGGACCAAATGTCAGGGTCGGAGCAGTGCGGCGACCCTTTTCAACTGGTGCCGCTGGGGACCACCTCTGGGCGAACCAGCGCCCGCGCGCCCGCCCGCCCGACCGCCTGTCGACTCTTGCGCCGCGCCTGCCACGCTCCGTGCCCCGCAGGCACGCTCTCTGCTGCGCACCGGCTGCGCGCGGGGGCCGCACGTCTTCGAGGCGCACTACAACGCGGCGCTGCTGGCGTGGCGGCGCGGGGACTACCAGGATGCGTGGGAGCGCGTTGGCGCGGCGCTGGCCGCGTTCCCGGGCCACACTGAGAGCCAGGAGCTGCGGCGGCTGCTGAGGGCTGAGCTGATGGCCCTGTAATCAGCAAAAATGCTAGATTTTGGAGTTGTACCTTTCGGGTAGAACAGATTAGGCAAGACAGAGCTGTCCCTTTTAAAAATGGCGGCTGTGCCCACCGCCGCCTGAGCAGTGGGCACAGCCGCCATGGTGAGCTCGTACCTTCCTCAGTATCAGCCGCCCTGCAGGCTGCTGCACCCAGCGGCCGTGCAGCGATTGGCGTTTCATGACGGGCCATGGAAGTGTCGTATTACAGACGGCATTGATTGTGTGGCTGATATTGCACAGTATTACGCGGGCCGCCGCCAGCAGAGGAAGCCCAGGAATCACATGGAAGGCGAGAAGCCCTGGACTGTCCAGGGCAGCGTTGCGCGTTGCTCAGCGCACGCGCGTTTGCAAAAAATGACATCAGCGTTCACAGAGCGCACACGTTGAAGGTGGAAGGGCACCGGCACACTGAAGATGCCGTGTCCCATCAGTGACGATGCAGCAGCTGCGGTCGGCGCGTGTCGTGGCGTCTGCAGGGTGTGTGCTGGCAACGGCACGGGGCTCGGCGCAGCCGCCCCCCCGCACGCGTCTCAGTGCAAGGCGGCTGGCAGCTGTTTTGGGCAGCTGGCCGCTTTTGGCCTGCTCGCACATCGAGCGCGGCACAGGCTGCGGCTCTCACTCCTTGCAGCGCATGCATGTGCGCCAGCTGCCATGCCTTGACCAGTAAGTGCAGGCGCACAGGCCCGCTCTGCTGCAAGTGGGGGCATGCAGGCCTGCTGCCTGCTGGGGTGGGAATGCACTGGACCCTGCCCGCAGCCAGGAGCAGCAGGCAGCCCGTGCCAATGCTTATAGAGCCGTGCATGCAGCCTGCCTGCCGCGGTTGCCGGGCGGCGCGATTGGCGTTGCAACGCCCGCCGTGTGCCCCGTCCTCGTGCACCTGAGGCCCAGCTGCCGAGCCTATCCGCCGCCTGCGGCTCTGTCCCTACAGATGATGCTGCATCTCATGCTCTGCACGATGACTATATGCAGTGTGGCATGTCGTGATGACGTCATCATGACGTCACCTCGGGAGCACGCCCGCGACGACGTCACCATCACAACAAGGCCGCCAGCACGCACAGCGCCGCCGCCGCCAGCGCGCCCGCCCCCGCCGGCGCGGCGCGCGCCGCCGCCGCGCTCTTGCCAGGCGCCGGCGCCGTCGCGTTGGTCCCGTTAGTCGCGTTGAGCGGCGCGGTCACGTTGGCCGCCGCGAGGGCCGCCAGGTCAGCCTGCTGCTTGGCCTGCTTGGCCGCCAGCTCCTCGGGCGTGAGCTCGACGGCCGAGAGATCTGTTGCGTCGAGGTCGGTCGCGTTGGCGCTCTTCTTGCCCGTCTTCGAGAGGGTGGGGGCGTTGGGGTCCGGGAACTCGAACTCGTCGGCGGAGTTGGCCTGCTCTGTGGTGTAGCCGTCGATGAACCTCATGCCCATGCGGGCGGAGCCCTGTGGAACGTCACAGAGGTGGGGTTTCCAGCGGAAGCAGAGTTTGGTGAGCCAAGCGGCAGCTAAGCTCAGGCGCAGCGTCGACCCCTTTGGTTGTGGCCAGGGCCGGGCACATTGGCCACCCGTGTCTACGCAGCCCGGCCGCTGCCCGCAACCCTTGGTAGCCCCGCCGCGCCCCCGCCGCGCAGCACCGCGCCGCTCAGACGCCCGCGGCTCCTCCGAGCCACCGCCGGCGCCGCCGCCCGGGCCCGATCGGGCGTCTGGATGCCACCCAATCTCCACGCTGCTAGAGGCTCTCTCGCCCTCTGTCCGACCCCCCTTGCGCGCCGCGTCCTCCCCACACGCACCTGATCAAAGGTGGTGTCAAAGTAGGGCGATTTGGTAGTGCCGTACACGCTCATCGCCTCCATCTCGGTCAGCGGCTGGATGGTGGTGATCACGATCAGCTTGGGCTTCGGCTTTTCTACCTCCTCCACCACCGCGGCCGTGTCCATTATGGACGCGTCGCTCCCCTTGGCGGTGCTTTGGACCACCGCCGCGGTGTCCGCGACCTGCGGGCGCGGGAAGGCGATGGGGTAAGCGGGAGGATAAGGCGGGCAGGAGGGCGTTTTGAGACTAGCCGCCAGGGGCGGGGGGCGCGTCGGCGCCGGCTGCGAGGCGGGCGCCCTGCCGGCCGCGGGCGGCTGCGCCGGCTCCATGAGGCGGCGGCGCCTTCGCCCTCGAGCGCCTGCGCCCCCGCCGCCTGCGCGACGTCCGCAACCTGCGCCGCCCGACCCGCCAGCCGCGGCGCAGTGTGGGCCGAAAGGAGATCCCTTCCGCAGCGTCAGAGCACGCGTGCTCCGCCCTCCTCACGTCCCGCCGCGGCCCCAGGTCGGCCTCGCGGCCCTGCTCCGCCGCCCGCGTCGCGCGTGCCCGCCCCCCAATCCACCCCTACCCACCTGCTGAAGCAGCCGGCGCAGGGGCGCGAGCCGGGACTCGGGCTTGATGGCCGGGGCCACCTTTGCGGCCGCCGCGGCGGGGGCGGGCGCGGGCCCGGCCTTTGCGGCCGTCGGCGCGGTTGCTGCGGCGGCCTTGTAGAGAACGTCCACGTCTGTGATCACGACCTGGCAGGCGATGCGGGGTGGTTTTGTGTTTTTACGAGGTTGCGCAGGGCCGAGGTTGGTCGTGCTGGCACGGCGAGGCAGGGGCTCGGGCAATGTCATTGTCGGGAGCCGAACCCTGCAAAGAGCGGGCGGCGCGCTGCCGCTGCTGTGAGCGTTTACCCTACTCCTCCTGTTGCTGCTCCTGTTGCTGCTGCTGCTGCTGCTGCTGCTATTGCTCCTGCTCCTGCAACTGCTGCGCTGCAGTGCGCACCTGTCGCACCAGCACCTGCCTGGCTGCTGCTTGAACTGCGCGGCCCTGCCAGGCGGCCTCATCCCTCGGCGAGACCGCGCCGCAGCCTCACCCCCGGACTCAGCTGCCAGCAGTCAGCCCTTCTCCCGCGCGCTGCTGGCAACACGCCCCAACACTCCGCGCCCGCATCGACCGTGTGGCGCGCCCGCAAATCTCTTCCGGTCCCTCCGGCCCCGCCAGCGCCGCCGAGTCCGCCGCGTGCCCACCTTGTCAATGTTGACACTGGCCGCGACGGCCACGTTCGCGCGCCACTTGGGCACGATCGCCTTGAACTCCTCCAGGGTGTTGTTCAGCTTCACGATGATGTTCACGGCAAAGTTCCCGGGGCAGGCCAGGCGGTTCTCGGGGCAGGTGACGGACTTGGCGCCCTTGATGCCCGAAAACTTGGCCAGATTGATCAGGTTGTCTGTCGATTTGAACGTGGTGAGGGAGGGGTTGTGGGTGCACAGTCTATTGAAGTGTGGAGATGCGCGTCTGCACTTGTTGGCTCGCCGGAGCGCGTTCACAGACATGCGGGGTGCTTTGCGTCCTTGCCATGAAGGCGTGCGGACAGCACACACGTGTCAATGCTACACCTGCCGGCCGCAGCGGCCGCCTGTGGCGGGTCCTCCTCTTCATGCCGCCGCGCCGCCGCGGCTTCGCAGTGCCAATTTCAGGGCACGTTGCCCTGCCGCTGCGACAGGCGGCTGCGCGGCCGCATCGCGCATCGCTCGTTGCGCGGCTCACCGGTGGGGCACTGGATGAGCCTCGTCACGTTGACCTGCGAGGGCCGCGCGCGGCGCCGAGAGGGGACGCAAGCGCAGCGTCAGCGAACGCAGCTTCAGCACCGCCCCTCGCCGCGGCCAGCCGACGCTCTTTGGCTGTCTGGGAGAGTCTGGCGGCTGCGCGGCCCCTCTCGCCCGCGCGCCGCCGGGCTCGATACACTAATACGTGTAGCGGCTGCGTCTGTCGAGACGGTGCGCTGAGGTGCCGCACATTGCCGGAAGCGGCCCCGCCAGCCGGCCAACGCCCTGCAAGCTGCTGCGCCCCCAGCTCCCGCTGCACGTTCCTCGTGCCCCCCAGCTTTCGCTCGGCTGCTCGGCGTTACGTCGATGTGCAAAAATCGCACCTAGTCGCCGAGCGCGCCTTGCATGGCGCAGCCCCTGTGCCCGTCACACCCACAATTTGCAAACCCACAGCAGGGGTGGCTGGCCACCGCTCCCATGGGTGGCTGGACACGCCCTGTCACCACTCACCGCGATGTACAGGATGCCGCTGATGTCACACACATACGCCAGCTTTGCCTTGGTGCCCTCGGGCACCTTGATTATCGGCAGGGCCGAGGCATTGGCAGGGATCTGCTCCTTAAGCTGTGTGCGGTAAATCATCCCGGCGGGCAGCGGCGGCGGCGGCGCAGCGGGCTTGGCGGGCGTGGGCGCCGGCGCCGCGGCGGCGGCCGGCGGCACGGCTATGCCCGCGGCGGCGGCGACGGGGTCGTAGGCCGGCAGGGCGGGCGCGGCTGCGGGGGCGTAGGCGGCGGCCGGGGCGTAGGCGGCCACCGGCGCGTAGGCGGGCGCGGGGGCGTAGCCGTAGGCGGCCGCAGGGGCATAGCCGTAGGCGGCCGGCGCGGCCGCGGGGGCGTAGCCGTAAGCTGCGTCCGTGGGGGATGCCACCTGAGGGCGTGCAGAGCCCGCCACATTTCAGGGAGGGGCGGGGGGCATGGACATGACGTCAGCCACCCCCCACAGGAGCAGGGCCACGAGACGACCGCCCTGCAGCCACTCGCACTTGCACGTCTAAGTCGCCCCTTGGTGTTGGAGGTCAGGCTCACGCAGCCACGAGCAGTGGCGCCGGAGAGGGCCGCAGCCCGTGTGCCACTGCGGCATTGCTCGTGACGCTCGCGCTCACCGACACGCCGCCGACGCTGGCCGGCGCGTAGCCAGCCGCGTAGGACGCCCCAGGGAGCGGCGCCGCCAGGGTGCCCAATACGGGCACGGTGGTGGCGCTGTTGCTGACGGCGCCGACGCCGTTTAGGCTGACAGACGGCGCGCCCGACGCGACCGACCCGGCCGCGGCCGGCTCGTTGAAGACTGTGTAGGCATCTGCTTGGGCCAGGTGCCTGCCGGCTGGTACCTGTGGAAAGGAGGGACGGGAGGTCATAAGGACGGGTGGCCGGCGGTTCTTCGAGGAGCGTTGGCGGGGTCACTGATCTTGGCTCACTGCACGCACAGCCTGCAGCAGCAGGTGACCAACACATTCGCATCCAGCAGCTGGACCCTGGCAACTACAACATGCAGCCGCAACGAACGATGTCAACGTCGTGTTTATGCTCTGAATGCTGCACATTAAGAGCAAGCCGCTGTACAGGAGCCTCATCCCGCGACCAACTGTCTCAGGCCCCACCTGGGGGCCGGCAGACGCTGCTGCACCGACTGCGTGGACGCGCAGGTTAGGACATACATGGAAGTCAATAGACGCTCAGGTTCACAAATGCATTAAACACAGCTATATGACCACCATGCACGAGAGCACTGTGTCGCTGCACTGCACACAGTGACCGTCAAAAGGTGCCCCAAGTGGCCCTGGCGTGCCGTAATATAAGGCTTTAGTATGCCTGTAAAAGGATGCGCCGTGAAGTCACTGAAAAGAGCTCACCTGCAAGGAGCAACACCACCAGCGCCGCGGGCTTCGCCATGCTTATAATAATAGGAATATCAGAGCTATTTCACCGGTGAGCAACATCCAACGTTATTCTGTCAGCAGGCCAAGAGGAGCAGAAGGCACGGACGGATCACCGGGAGTGCCAACAAGTGAGGAGCCGGGGAGATTACTGCCCGTTGCTCCTCTCGCTTTTGCCTGCGGGACCAGCAACCGCTGCAAATCCGCACGAACATACAAATTTGTTCTAAATACAACCGTTGCATCCGCCCACCCGCGCAAGAGCCCACCAAGGCGCAGCAGCGCACGTTACTGCTCGCTCTGATGGTGTTACCAACCTCCGCCCAAGTCCAATAAAGTCCTGGCAACGGGCACTTTCCAAAGCGGCCGACAGCATGAGATGGCACGAGGCGTACATTTTGAAGCATCGAGCACTGTTCAGTCTGGCAAGCTCCGCCACCGGCGCTGTTCCTGTCCAAACTACCTTGTCAGCCCTGGCAGCCGCAGCACCTGCCGTCGCACGCGAGGCTGGGTGACCCGAAGCAGCCGGCCGCTTCGGGTGCTGATATCATTCATGGTGATGGTGAGCGCATACCGCAGGCCAACCAGAACCCGGCACCTGCGCACACACATCGCGCCGTTCAACTCGGCCAGCGGCTCCGCTGACGGACCAGCATGCTGCCCAGAGCCAGCAGGAGCAGCTCTGAAGCACCACCCCCCTCAAACCGCACCAGCAACCCGGTCCCTCTCCCACATACTCTCTGCTGTATAGCTTTGACGGCGACGACAGACGCAACACAAGTGTTACAAAGCAACAGCAGGTGCGATGAGACATGGTCAAAGTGCACGCAGAGAGGTGACGCCCGCTGGGCATCAGGGGGGAACACTGAGTGCTATGCAACGACCTGAGAGGGATGCAGCAACAGGAGGGTAGGGCAGCGCTTGCCGAGCACGCCTGCGTGGACGGCCCCTTGGCATAGCACAGGAGGAAGTGGGAGCAGCAGGACGAGAACGAGGAGCAAGGCGAATAAGTAATATCAAAGCTTTGACCTAATGGACAAGGGGGGGGGGCCGCAGTCACGGCGCCAGGAGCTGGAGCAAGTCACTGCCCGCCGTGCCGCCTCAGCCCGCTTCCAAGCGTCACTCGGCGACTGCGCCCCCGCTCGAAGAGGTGTAGCGCTGCCGCAGCATGCCGCCCCCGCTCCCCTCCCCGTTTGCCTGGCCGGGGCGCCGCAGGGACGCCTGCCACCGCTGCGCCGCCTGCCGCTTGAGCGCCCCCCACGTCGATGTCGCGCCCTCGCCGCCGCCGTCCGCCCACGCGCCCCCCTTGCTCGGACGCCGCCGTTGCCGTTGCTGCTGCGGAGATGACGGCGACTGCTGCTGCTGCTGTTCGTGGGGCTGCTTGTCCTGATCCGACGGCTGCGCCTCGTGCTCCATGGCGCGCCGCGCAAGCATCAGCAGGCGCAGCGCCCCGTCCTCAAGCCGATCGAGCTCGCTGCAGCACGCCGCAAACAGCACGTCAACACCCGCCCCGCCGCCGCCGGGCGCGGTCGCCTCAGCCTGCGGCGCCTGCGCGCGGTGCGGGCCGTCGGGCGTGGGCGCCGGCTGCGCGTCGTTGAGCGCGGGGGGGATGTGCGGCTGCGGCGGCGGCGACGAGGCAGCACGCTGCGGCTGCTCGACCTGCTGCGACGCAGGCCCCACACCAACAGGGGCTGGCTGCTTGGCACGCAGCTGCTTCGCCGCGGCAGCAACGGCGGCGGTGGCGCTGTTCGCGCGCTGCTGCTGCTGCTGCTGCTTGGCCGCGCCGCTGCCGCAGCTGCCCGCAGAGGAGTAGCGCCGTTCCCGCAGCTGCGCTGCGCCTGCCGCCTGCGTGGCGCCACGCACGCCGGCCCTGGCGAGCGCGCTGTGCAGGGCGTCGCTCGTGCCGGGCCGCGGCCCCAACGCGGCCGATCGGCAGCGGTGCTTGCTGTCCAGTGCCCCCGTTGATGCGCGCGGGGACACGCTGCTGCGGCCCCTGAACGAAGACGGGTACGCAAAGGACGGATCCCAGTCCGGCCGGGCACCGACCAGGCTCTCTCGACTGACCTCTTTTGCCGGCGGCGCAGACTTCGCTGAGTGCAGCGACGGCGGCCCCTGCTGCGACGGCGACGGCCCGAGGCCGCTAGGCGAGTCGGGGCTCAGCGGCCGAGCGGCTTGGGCAAAGGTGGAGACCCATTCGGGCCGCGCCTTGCCGTCCGGCACATGGATGTGGTGGTGCTGCTTTGCCGCACCGCCGTGCCTGGCGGCCTCGAGCTTTCCCGCGCCGCCGGCGCCTGTGCAGGCGGCTGGCGAGGACGCGCCTCCGCCGCTCTGCAACGGGGAGGCGTTCGCGCTATCGTCCCGCAGCCGCTTCACGTAGCCGGCCCAGTACCCGCTGTCGTGGCAGGTAGACATTTGGTTTGCTGCCGTGGCCCTGTTGCTGGCTGGCGTTGGCTGTGCTGGCTCTTCACCAGCAATCGGCGATCAGGCAATGCGCGCTGCTTTAATTGGCGCCGCAACAGCTGCAGCGGCGACCCTGCTCGTGCAGGACACCACCAGCACAGTGATGTACGCCAAAAGCTGCCCTATGTATTAGGTGCTCCACATTTGGTCCACGTACGCTTCACAAGGCCCACCGGCGGTTGATCGGACTGGCCCGCGCCCCGCAGGGCTTTGGCACCGGAATCGAGAACGAATACTATCGAGGGCCTCTATCCTTTATCATGTATGATGCATCTGAGTCAGAGCGATGCGATCCGCCTGACGGTGTTGGCACGGTCTGCAGGTGACTCGGATACAGGTTGCAAGACTTGTATGAATGAAGATCGGCCGTTGCATCAACATCTTGAAGTGGGCAGTCAACACGATGCATCCTTTTGGCTGGTGCCCCACCAGCGAACTCATTCAGCACACAAGTGCTGACCACATCGCGCGGCAGTGCCGCACCCCTCACCAACAGCATCTAAACGTGCATTTCTGGTTCCCTGAAACACGATCGCCAGCCCCGCAGACCTCAAGCTTCTGCTCATGCTTTCCTGTCCACC